TTAATTGCTCCTATCCTGTTCTTATCTCTATCGAATACTATTTGTTTATGTTTAAAGAAAGAAAGCCCCAAAACACTCTCTTGCATGCGATTGTCATCTAGGCCATCACACCAAAATCTGCATGCATACCATAAACCCTAAACCCTAAACCCTAGATAAACCCTAGATAAACCCTAGATAAACCCTAGATGAACAATAAACCCTAGTAAACCCTAGATCCAAGACCCTAATAATATCGTCCAATAACCCTCGATACTTCTCCGGTGAGGTGTTTATGCTTGTCTGGATTTGTATTAGGGTTTAGGGTTTCGTTAGGGTTTATAGTTAGGGTTTAGGGTTTAGGGTTTACCCTCCAGTACGTCTATATAGATAACTTTGTGGTAACCACATGATAGTATTTCCTTCAAGGAAAGAAAGTTTAATAACAGGGAGAGAAAAAGAAAGAAAAGAAGAAGAAGGAACACGCCAACAAGGTCTACCGTCCTTCTCTCTTTGACAAAATAATGATGCTGTACAATGTTTATTTAATACACGACGCCAAGCTGCGTAGACACTTGGAGGAAAATATGAATATGTTGTCCCTGTATACACACATATATATATTTATACGTATTTATTAATGATAAATAAATACAAAATAATAAAAAATAATACTTTTATTATCTCTAAACCCTAACTGGAGTTTATATCAAAAAAAAATGTATACTATAAGTCAACATACAACAGAAACCCTAAACCCTAAACCCTAAACCCTAAACCCTAAACCCTTAAATCGTCAAATCAACAATTATCTTCAACATTTAGTATTTAAATCTTATCCACTATTTATCTACTATTTATCTAGTGTTTATCTAGTATTTAGGGTTTAATTAGGGTTTAGGGTTTATCTAGGGTTTAGGGTTTCCATATACCTGAATCAACAAAAGTACTACCGAATTCCTCGACTCCCTCCCCTAATCTAATACTTATCTAATATATAATAAGTGTTTACTTAATTAGATTAGGGTTTATACATAAATTAGGGTTTCTATATAAATTAGGGTTTCTATATAAATTAGGGTTTCTATATAAATTAGGGTTTAGGGTTTAGGGTTTAGCCGTATACCAACCTGAATCAACAAGAGTTCTACCAAAATCTTCTACTCCATCTCCTAATATACTATTAATCTAGTATCTATCTATCTAATAATAAGTGTTAATTAGTATTTCAATAAAAATTAGGGTTTAGGGTTTAGGGTTTAGGGTTTAGGGTTGACCTGAATCAACAAGAGTTCTACCAAAATCTTCGACACCATCTCCTAATCTAATTAATCTAATTAATCTAGTATCTATCAAGTGTTAATTAGTATTTCAATAAAAATTAGGGTTTAGGGTTTAGGGTTTAGGGTTTAGGGTTTAGGGTTGACCTGAATCAACAAGAGTTCTACCAAAATCTTCGACACCATCTCCTAATATTTCTCCATCGGCCTCCATTTTGAGTATTTGAATTCGATATGCCGCCTTACTAGTTAGGGCTGTCCATACTATATATTTATTAGGGTTTATAGATACATTTGCTGCTGCTGCTGCTGCTGCTGCTGCTGCTGCTGCTGTAGATGATGATGATGATATAGATGCAGAGGGAGATGGAGAAGGCAGAGAAGGGAATGAGGGTTTAGGAGGGGAAGAAGGAGAAGAAGAAAAAAAAGATGAGGGATTAAATACACTAAATATTGATGATGATGATGATGTTGATGGATCGTAAACCCTAGATAAACCCTCATTAGGGTTTAGGGTTGATACACCTAAATCTACTAAACCCGGCTCTATTCCTCCTATTGTTAATAAACCTCCATCCTCTATACACATATAACACAACATAAACCCTCATAAACCCTAAACCCTAAACCCTAAACCCTAAACCCTAAACCCTAATAAACACTTGTAAACCCTAAACCCTAATAAAAAGTGTCAAGAAATAAGAAGGGAAACCATGATACAATCATAGGGACAAACCCTAAACCCTTCTTCCTGCACCTGTCTAAACCCTTATATAAACCCTTATATAAACCCTAAACCCTAGAAAAGAAGTACCTGATATACAAATAGAGAAAACTTTTTCTTGTACTAAACCCTGATCAAATATAACATCAATTAGTGTTGGTTGTCTAAAACCCTTGGGGAAAGAAACACCAAATATACCCGATGCTTTTTGTGTTATAAATAATGATGTCTCCCTTATATGACAACCTGCATATATACACCCCAAAACCCTAAACCCTAAACCCTAAACCCTAAACCCTAAACCCTAAACCCTAAAATTCCTAATTTTTCCCGGTTAACCGTAAACCCTCGAAGGATAATATAAAATAAATAATGAGGGTTTAAGATGTATGATTATATGTATATATATATTAATCTAGGGTTTATTAGGGTTTATTAGGGTTTATTAGGGTTTATTAGGGTTTAGGGTTACCTATAAAATCATATTGTATAGTAGGAGATAAACCCTCGGGTCCTC